GGAGTGAAAGAGAAAAGTAAGATAGAAAAAGGGAAAGAAGAAAGAAGAGAAAGACAGAAAAGGGGAGAAAGAAAGAAGAGAGGAGAAGAGAAGAGAGAGAAAAGAATAAGAAGAAAGAGAGAAAAGAGAAAGAAAAGGAGTAATAAAGACAAATGGGGAACAGAGAGATCAGAAGAGAGAAAAAAACGATAGAATAGGAGAGAGAGAAAAAGGAGACAAAGAGAGACAGAGAGAGAGAGAGAGAGAGAGAGAAAGAGAGAGAGAGAGTGAGAGAAAGAGAGAGAGAGTGAGAGTGAGAGAGAGAGTGAGAGAGAGAGAGAGTGAGAGAGTGAGAGTGAGAGAGTGAGAGAGTGAGAGTGAGAGAGTGAGAGTGAGTGAGAGAGAGAGAGAGAGAGAGAGAGAGAGAGAGAGAGAGAGAGTGTATCAGGACTGTGAGTTGTTTCCTGAGGGGGGAAATGACCAACAAATGAATCCAATATGAGTGAGCATCTATAATCCAGCCTCTAAAGACGGTCAGAAGCCAACTGAAGGTCTGAGTGACCGAACAGTTTTCCTGTCGTTTATCATCAGTCTGAGCAGATTAGCGACGGCCCTGAAAAAGTGCTGCATCATCACAGCGCGCAGCGCGCCGGGTAAAAGAGAAAAGAGCAGCAGAGCGACAGAAGAAGAGCCGCTTTCACCTCCCACCGTCACGGCCATCTGTGCTGAGGCTGATAGTCTCACACACCACTTCATCAATTTATCCTCTGAGCTACACAGTGGACGGAGCTGAGGCCACCTTCTTTCTCAATTTCAGAGGAGCTTAAAACCAGAACAGATACATTTAGGGCTTTGCTCAGCTCTACTGTTTCAGTCCGACACCCCCTCCACCCTCCACCCTCCACTCCGTCACGCTCGCCAAAGAGATCGGAGAAAAATCTAATTCACCCCAAACACAGCCGACCAGCCGAGGCAGGCTCGCTTCCTTAGTTCTGCACTGGAGCTACAAGTCTAATGTACAGCCTTAAGAAAAGATGGTTCTTCAGGGGTTCTTTAGTACAGAAAATGGTTCTATATAGAACCATCAACACTCAAATAACTCTTTGCATGATTAAAGATATTCAGATTGATGGAGAACGTGTTGTATTTTCGACACCATAACAACAGAAGAAACGTTGCTGGTGCTATATAGAACCTTTTTGAAAGCAGAACAATAGGAGTATCCTTTGTGGTGCTATATAGAACCTTTTTGATATCATAACAACAGAAGAACCCTTTATGGAGCTATACAGAACCTTTCTGACTGTTCTCTACGATGCAAAGAAAAAAGTATGAGGAGCTTCGTACAGCAGCTTTGACCCAATATTGCAAACTTGGTGACTTTCCAGACTCCTTTAGCAACTTTTTTATTTAAAAAAAGCTTCTAGTGATAAATTTAGTGACTTTTTGGACGAAACGTTGCACACACTGTTAGAAATCAAGGTTTTATTCAGGTATATTTTTCGTTCACCAAGGTACAAATGATGTAAATGTTCCCTCAAAGGTACAACAGTGGGTTTAAGGTCTGATTGTGAACCTTAAATAAGTTTTTCCAGGTGAAAAGTTCGTATTTGTACTTTTTCATAACCGAATGTTTTTAAACAGCACAGTAAAATAAAAGCCTGGAGACGAGACGGGGTGTGTGGAGTCAGTACAGCTTAGAACATATCATTTCAGTGGATTATGGTTCAGTTATGTTCCCTGACTAAAGGTACTGAGATGGACCCTTGAGGGTCCCACCCCGGTAACAAGAGGGGCACTGCCCCAGTGACCGTTTAGTACCTTTATTTCTGAGGGTGTAGAAGAGAGTCGCCAGCACTGCCCCGCGAGCACGAGAAAAGGCACATTCAGTCTGCATGGCAGCTGAAACAGACGTGAATGAGCTGTGCATGTGCGTTCACTGTGATCATTTTGACCGTTATCACTGTCTTATCACTCACCATCACACTGAGAACAGAACATCCTTCTAGTGGTTTGTTGCTCAGTCTGAGGCTGTGCGATGTGCAATGCAGCCGAAATCACAGCACAGTCGTTGTCTTTAAGTGGTGTGGAAGGTGATTTTGTTAGCCGTGCAGAGCGGCAGCTTGGAAATGACTGCTGGTTAACATGCAGTCTTAATGGGCCGAGTTTCAGTCACTATTTCATACGCCTCCCATTGCGTGACAGCAGAAACAGAACAGTATGCAAATGAGAGCAGCTTTATTGGGAATCCGTCTGTATTAAAATACAGTACCTGCCAGCACAAAGAGCAGAAAGGAAGCAACCAGATGTAAAGAGCTGACACCATCTGGCACCAGGCAGGACACAAATACGACGTGATGGCATCACAAATATGCTAATTAGCGCATGATGTCATCTAGAGACATTTAGCGACTTTTTTCAGGCTTTAGCTAATTTCCATTGAATGCAGCTGGCAACACTGACTGAACCTCCAAAACAGAAATGCTAAATTTAGCACAAACCTTTACACATTTCATCCCCACTGTCTACATATGAACACATTAAAAGAGAGACTGCATGGTCGCTCAGTCAGGAGACTGTATTAGATGTTAAAACTGTCTTTAATTTTGTAATTTTGCTCTCTATGCTAAGCTAGCTAGCTCGTTAACTGCTATGTTAGCTCCTCAGCTAGGCGCACATGCACTCCCACCATTACCGCCCTTTGCAATAACTCAGTGTGCAGCACTATATACAATAACTAAATAACTGTCTGCTATAATTATGTTTACTTTGCGTTTTTACTGTTCATGGTTAGCGAGTTAGCTAGCTTGCTAACTGCAATAAAATAGAGTATATATTTTCCACCGCCAGCCTTGGTCACGCCCATTTCGTGCCCGTGTCTAGTGCAACAGGAGCTTGAGGGGGGAACGTTGTGTTTATTCAATTTTTTACTGACTCTCGCTAGTAGATGGTTCTTTAAGGGTTCTTTAGTAAAGACAATGAACCATGATCAACCAAACAACCATTTGCATGTTTAAAGGGTTCTTTGCGTGGTAAAGTGGTTCTTCAGATTGACAGGAAAATGAACTGCGGATGGTTCTATATAGATATGTAGCACCAAACAGGGTTCTGCTATTGTTACAAGCTTGAAATCATAACTATATCAGAAGCTGTTTTGGTGCTATATAGAACCCTTTTGAAAAAGGTTCTACATAGAACCATATAAAACACATTCTCCATCAGTCTGAAGAACGATTTCACCATGCAAAGAATGCTTTAGGCATGCAAACGGTTCGTTGAGTGATCATGGTGTAATGACTAAATCCATGGTTCGGTTCAGACCTCGATTTTTGACTCACAGTCCAGTTCATTTTTTATCATCGTTCCTGAAGATTCGAGATTGTGTATGTTTGAATCGCGGTTTCGGTCTCGGTTTCAGAATCGTTTCACTCCTACTAGGCACAAAAGGAAAGAGAGACAATCATGGCAACTTCCCAATCAGTGGCTTATCTTTCACAGCAGGGGTGCCAGACTCACAGCGTGGGCTGGACGAAAGACAGGCTGGTCAGTTTCAGCATGGCTATACCTCTGGCTCAGTGGTCTGCACAACATTTGTGCACTGGGCACATCATCAACCTCATCTGATGGGCAGCAGCCTTTTTATCATTAACTTCTATCTTTAATTGCCTGTAGTTTAATCTGGAACAGGAGCTTTAAAGGCTACACAGGGACTACATAAGACATGCATAAGCAGCTTATGAACGTATTTAAGCTGAATATTTTATGAACATCTTATGTCATCATTCACAAAACATTAAATGATGCTTCTACACTAAGGTGATAGACATTTGTTCCATTTATAACACTGTTATAAAGCATCACTCCAAAGAAATCCAACTTGCTACAGTTACATTGCATGGAAACAGGCGTGTAGGTCTGTGATGGAAAATATTCTGGGTTCTGTTTTAGTATGAATCAACTAAATATCTGCTTATTTGTATAAAAATCAAATAGAATAAAATTGTCACTGTCCAAACGAAAACCTGTATCTCCATGAGAGTAGCTTAAAAGGAGAGGCCAAAAATGTTAATGTAAGTTAATGTAAGAAATTTTATTCGAAGCAATTTTGGAGCATTTCTATTGGTTCATTCATCATAACATTTTCACACATCAAGAGCAGCTGCTGAGCTCAGATTATGCAGAAAATTAAAAATCACAGTAGATGGAGATGCTTGTTTTTTTGACAGTGATGAAATAAAAGATGCCCAGAACATTTTACACTCTTAAAAATAAAGGAGCCAAAAGGGTTCTTTAGAGCGTTGCCATAGTACAGGGGTGCCAAGACTTTTGTGGCTTGAGATCTACTTTTTGTAATGGACAGGTCATTGTGATCTACCTTAAAAAAAAAGGTTGGCCTCATCCTTTTTAAAAGCTTTGAAACTTTTTTAATGCATTTCAGTGGCCTATATTAATATTCAGCTTTACAGGGTAAACGGCTGAAAAATCACACTAACCTAATTCAGATGATTTGCACTGAATGGTGTCAGCAGGTTTGTGTAGTCTAGACCACTTTTTTCTTCCTGAGTTCACTTTTAGCTGGGAATTTGTTGTAGTAGTTTCTGTGTATAGTTTGAAAATGCCTCTCGACATTCCCCCTCTTTGTAGTGTGATGGACACTTGGCAAATCAAGCAGATGCATTTGTAGTTTGACACTGTAAAATGAGTCCTCCTCCTGCTCTGCACAGAAGAGGTCAATTTTCGGTGTCTTTGTGCAGGTCTCACACTCATCGTCTGAAAGAGTCAGTCTTCAGTGGCCTTTATTTGTCCCACAACGGGGAAATTTCACCTCTGCATTTTAACCCATCCGTTACGTGAATCACCACATACACACTAGTGAACACGCACACTAGGGGGCAGTGAGCACACCTGTCCAGAGCAATAGGGGCAGCCCTATCCACGGCACCTGGGGAGCAGTTGGGGGTTAGGTGCCTTGCTCAACGGCACTTCAGTCACGTACTGTCAGCTCAGGGAACTGAATTTGGTCACAAGGCTGGGTCCCTAACCTCCAGCCCATGACTGCCCCTTGTGTACGTTACACAAGAAAAAGAGCAAAACTGTGCTAGACGAAACGATAAATGAAAACTTTCTAGATCGCTAGAGAGGCAAATTCACAGCACAGCTTTAGGCGGCGGTGGTGTAGCTATGGTAACAAGCAGTAAATTAAATAGACAGTGGCCACATTTCACTCAGTCAATCACGTTGACCTGCCCGCTGCCAGAAGCAGTAAGAAAGTGTTGAAATTTGATAGGCTGTTGGAATGAAGCACGATCCACCAATGTGCACTGTGCAATCGATTAGTCGATCATGAACAATGTATTGGGCACCCCTGCCATAGAAGAAACACTTTTGGTTCCCAAATGACCAAAGGATGGTCTAAATGGATGGTTCCTTAAAAGAACAATTGTCATATATGAGACGTGTGAGTGTTAAGAACCTTTAAATGTTTACAGAACCTAACATAAAGGTTCCATCTACTGAGCATCCATGCCACTTAGCAACCTTTAATTATAACGGTGCAGGGTTTGAAATCACTCACCGTCTCTTTCTTTTCCCTTTCCAGCACTTTAACAAAAGACTGATTTTTCTAGTTCTCTGTAAATCCCAGTCTGGTCCTTCTGCACTCGGCGCTGATGAGCGATTTGTATCTCGCAGGGCTTTTTTCTTCACGTCTTCTGTGAACGGCGAATCGTGATGCTTTCACCCCTCCACCCTCTGCAGACTGTCTGCAGTTTCTTTAGCTGTCTTCACAGCTCTAATGATTTTTCTGTCGTTACTTGCCGTGCTCTTCTTTGGATGACCTGGTCACTGCAAACTGTTTACCCCTCCAGTCGTTTCTTTTTTTTTTTTCATGATTTTGCGATACCCCGTTGCTCTTGAGACGTTTGCCTCAATCTAATCTTCAAACTGGCTTGGTTTTCCATCACTTTCAATACCCTAGTTTTCATCTTGGTTTGTGCTTCTACCTCAAAAACAAGACTCAAAAGACAAAGTACAGTAGCTAAGATCCTAAACATTTGCAGATCTTTTATAAAAGTCCACACATCTGTCCTAATATTTATGTTCAGTTAAAACTGCAGGACTGAAAAAAAATAATGCCATTGCTTTTTAACCTGCACGAAAACCTACTCGAAAATAAAAGCAGGTTTACTTTAGCCTCAAATTCTTCAGAAGTAAAAATTTCCTAAACGTAAGAAACACTGGATGAGCAGTGTCTACAAACTTTTGGACATATATGGCCAAATGTACTCAGATTTAAAGAGGTTTTAGCCTGACTTCATTAATATACACTCTAGGGTGTAGCACTGAGGAGATTCTGCAAATTAACATCCAGAAGCAATTTACTAACATGAACTACTAAAAAATTGTGTTTTTTAACCCTTTTGTGGTGTTGGGGTCTGTGGGACCCATTTTCAATGTGTATCAAAAGGAAAAATTATGCACTTTATTATTATTTCAACCTCAGATTTCTTGGCCTCATTTTCTGTGAAGAACATATAAAATAACCCATTTTCAGTGTCTTCACTCTGTTCACCCCCCACACCTTTATAGTACTTATGTGGTGTTGGGCTGAACCCGCTGGGAATAAAAGTGTGGAGGTGCTGTGTCCTTCACTCTGTTCTCCTCCTACATGGCCTGCTGTTAGTGTGTGTGTGAGGGTGGACAACATGGACAGGCTGCTGACTGGCTACAGCTGCTAAAGGAGAACCCTACGCTGGACACTTGTGATATTTTAAACATCTGGTATTTTTACATTAATTGTTGTGGCTGTATTGATTAAATAAACAGTAATGCGGTGGGTCCAGCAGACCACTGAGTAACACACACATCAACACCATAGAAGGGTTCATGCCAAAGATAAGGAGGCGTAATTATTGGTAAGAGACTACATTAGAACAACACTTTCAGGCTATCTTTATATCTTAAATGGTAAGTCATTTAGGCTATGTTTACATTAACAGGCTGAAGTGGCACAAATTCAATACTTTGCCCTAAAGTGACTCTGATGAGTTTTTTCAGAGCTGTTTGGACACACAAATCCCATTTCTGGCCATTTTTACTGTGCATGCGTCATCATTGAGCAATAATGTGGCAGCAGCACCAAATCTGAAGTTAGTGCCAGTACACGGTGGAAAAGACACATCTGACCCTTTTCCATTTTCATCTAACTCTAATAATGAGCAGCTGAGTTCAGAGCTGTTGTTTCACTGCGAAAGCCTGCTCTGCTGGTTAGTTTGTCTGCTGTTTGTATTGTATGTTATTCATTCACGTGACGTTACTAATTAGGATGCAAGCATGAGTCCCTTACCTACACGAAAGTGAACCATCAATGCTAGAGTGAACAGATCTGAGCAAAAAATTAGACTTGAGTAATGAGGCTTTTAAATGAACGGAGACAGCAAAGCCACAAACTAGAGTCAGGTGCGCTGCATGCTATGAACACTACTTTGAAAATCTGAACCCTCTCAGACATACTGCATGTTTTAACACATCCTCTACGGAGAATAAACTTAAATACATTTCTGCAAATTGTATTGCAAATTTTATTTATTTGCTGAGTTTAACATACTGGGAAAAAAAATAAAATATAAAAAGGTGCCGTAACCTTTGTAGAGGCCACATTTTATGTTTTTTTTCCCTCCAGTACTTTAAATTAAGCAAATCAACAACAATTGTGTATTAAAATGTGCAGAAGTGTGTTCTCAGTAGAGAAAGTGTTAACTTTTCACTTAGAAAATCAACAGAACGTGGAATTTGACCAGGGGTGCCCAACTGGTCAATAGGCTACTTTCTATATTAAACCTTTAAGCTATACAGCTACTTTTCAGTCAGTTAGCATTAGAAAATGCACATAACACTCACTCATAACTGTGGAGATCAAATGTTACCAAAAAATCTATAGTCAAAAGACCTGAAGCCTCAAAGGGCTTTTCTAAAAAAGCTTTTTTTAGTAGTGGACTTAATAACACCGTTATAAACACACTGGCGCTCCCTGCGTACCTCTTGCCAAAGTTGCTGGCAGGCACGGCCAGGCTGGGTGAGGGGTCGACGGGTTTGCGTGGGCGAGCGGTCAGCCTCTTGGAGCTTCCTTTGGCCGGAGACTCTCTGGGCTCGGCGGATGGGCTCTTCAGGGCAGACTTGTTTAGGTCCTTCAGGACGTCATAGTTAATCTTTGAGGAGATGCGCTTCTGCTCCAGCATCTTCTCGATGGCCTCGTCTGCCGTGTTGGCGTTGATCGGCTGCCGCTTCTGCACCGGTTTCCGTGCCTAGGAGAGAAAACAGGCGAGCAGACGGAAATGTGAAAATGTAAACACAGACACAAATACAGACACAAATACAGTCAGGCAGAACTGCATGAATTAAACGCTTCGCCAAACTATCCCTTCAGTTGAGGTAAAGGGGGAAACTGTGCCAGTTTGAGCTTTTGAAAAAGTGTTCCTCAAAGCAACACTATGTAGTGTTTCTGGAGGAAATATGTAATTGCACAACATGCAGAACACCACTTTGTAACTTCGGTTGTTCTTCAGACCCCAACAAGCGGACGAATCTGACTTTTGCGAGCGCGTTGAGAAAGTATTCAAAGAGAACTCGGTCAAAACTTGGTGCAGGACGTGTCGTTTGAGGATGTGAGTGAAATATCTACTACTGTCATCATATCTTCATCAGTATAATGTTGATTTAGCATTTAAGACCTAAATATCGGGCAAGACCTTCTTTTATTGATTGATTTTGATTGATTTACTGTCATTGCATGTTTATCTACAAGGAAAATCAGGTGCACCACCTGAAACAATGCTCAAGATATATATATATATATATATATATATATATATATAATATATATATATATATATATATATAACTTTCACGCATACAGCTCACACATACACTCTTAGCAACCAAATGCAACCTTCAAAGAATGTGAAAACAGAGAAAACTTTCACTCACTTTCTTTTCCTTGTAGATGCCGAGCTCCTTCTCCTTCGCTATTCGCTCCTCCTTTTCTACACATCAAACAAAGAAATAAATCAAAAACATCTTATTTCAGTAAACAGGACTGTGTAAAAGTTTAAGGCCAGCCAAGAAAAGTGTTTTGAAACTATTTATCCAGGCAGCAGGCTTTTACTCATAAAACACTGTATAGCATTAGAATAATAAAAAAAAATGTTAATTAAGTAAAAGTAACATGATTTTTTTTGGTTTTCAGTGAAGTCACTGATATAAACTGGTTAGAATAACACAGCCTGAACAGCCAGCATGAATTTGTTCAGTTTCATTAGCAGCTCCCTGATTTAATTTAATGAAGGATTAGGAAAACCAGGTACTGGATGGTAACTGTAAATACAGGACCTCTTGGAGGAGAGATTTGGAAATAATTAAACACAAACATCAAATCACAATGGACTATTTATTTGGATTTAGTGTAATGTTAGTGCTTGTCCCAGGAAAATAAGTGCTGCCCAGACAAATACTTTTACATATCCTTTTCTCAGGTGCCGTAGACTTTTGCATAATGCTGTATATCCACTTCCAAGCAAAGTTCAAATGTTTACCCTTCTGTTCTTTGAGGTAGTCTGCGTTCTCCAGCATCCACAGCTCTGTTTTAATCTCCACCTCCTTCTCGTTCAAGATGTACTGCAGGACAGAGGACAGTGGACACTCATAGACTGACTGAAAACATTTCAGCTCAAACTACACCTGAGAACAATCGCAGCATTCACTGAGCGCGTTTATATACACCTAATAATCTGATAACTGCAGAAAATCAGATTTTGACAGTAATCCGATCAACGAGTTTACACGCTCGAGTAATCAGATACTGGGGAAACTCTGGGTATACATGAGCCAGGCAGTAATCAGATTTCTGCTTTGCAACCAGCCAATAAACTCACAGAAGACGTGATGTAAACGTGATGTAAAACTCAAACTTCATTTTTTTAAACATCACAAACATTCAAACACAAACAAGATGAACATTTAAATCCTCCATTTCGTCAAGAATGTATTTGGTCTCGCGGCGACGCTGCTCGCTTATTTCCGGTGCTGCTGTCTGTTTCCCACATGCGCAGACTGAGAAATGCGAAAGAAATCAGAGTAAGAGTTTACATGCACTGAGAAATCTGATTACTGAGCTGAAATCCAGCTCTCTAATCAGATTTCCAGACCTTACTCCGATCTAAGAAACTGAAATGTGCTGTTTACATGACCATTTGAATAATCAGATAACTGCAGAAATCAGATTATGATCGGATTATTCAGTGCATGTAAATGCATTTAGTGTTTGCTTACTTTTTATTCTTTCTTGAGAAACACTGAAAGTGCTAATAACGCAGAGTCATGCATAATTGTGGTTATTCAAATATATGAAGATCTGAACTCCTTGTTAGCTTAATTGGACATTCTAATTAGATAAAAAATAAATATATTTTAAGTGAATTGAGCTGAATATGTAATCAGTGTCAATTCGAAAAGCTCCATCTTTTTGGTGATCCTCCCTTAAATGCATATGCACGAGGAAGAGAAGCACATTTATTATTATTGAGGATTTTTTCTGGGCACACAGCCCATAAACTGCACATTTAGGCCTTGTGTCAGTTTTGCACAAAACATGTGGGTAGAATGCATCTGAACTGCAGCTGAAACTGGTCTAACAGGTGCAGAACATCAGGCCCTCAGACTATTTGGAGGTTTAAATACTACTAAAAAAACCTGGGGGTAAATAATGACAGTCTACCCACCTGATCGTGCACGACATGCAGCCTGAAACATGCATTCAAAGTCAACCTGTTCTGAGCAGAGGTCAATCATTAAAGTCCGGTTGATTGGTCAGCGTATAAAGGCCCTCATTCAGGCCCACTTAAAACCGAAGACAGCCGACGGAGCAGCTGCTTAAGCCAAGCTTCACCTTTCATTCACCAGCACTGACAATCAGCCTGCTTTTGATGGAAATGGCAGGGTGTTCACTTATGCTAATAAGGCTAATCACTAACAAACGTGCGAATCAGGAAATACTGGCACACGTCGCTAAAGGCAGGTGGGCACGTGAGGAACGGGGAGCTTTTGCTCTTCACTCTTCAGCGTGGTGTGAACTCCACGGGGAAAAACGGGAAACAACCAGAGGGAAGTGACCTATCTGTGCTCCGCCCACAAATGCGCTCTTTTAGAGTTACTATGGAGAACTTGAGAAGCTGTAGCACAACACCTGTCAAAGTAACTATATTTGGTTCATTTCAACTGATGTTCATTTTGTATGTGTTACTGTAGCGGAGTGCAGCTTGCTGCCATCACCAGCTTTAGCTGTTTTAATGTTACTAGCTGGCTAACATCGCAGTCTACACCATTAGCTACTGTAAGTTACACCAACAGATCTGCCAACAACGAGTGCGTTTACATGCACTTAAGAATCCGACAGTTGCAGAAAATCAGATTTTCTTTTTTTTTGGGGATTTTTCCCCGATTTAGTCGTCTCCAATTCCACCCACTAGCTAAGACTCCCCCAGTCACACAATACTACCAATGCTAGGAGGGTAAAGGCTAACACAGGCTTCCTCCAAGACCTGTGAAGCGCCACCGCATCTTATCAAACTGCTGCTCACACAACGTCATTGGACAGCCTTACGCGCTCGGAGGAAAGCGCCGACCGCCAGATCTGTTACGTCAGCTAACAGACGCCTGGGGCCATCCTACCCACCCAGAGAGAGCGAGGCCAACTGTGCTCTCTTGGACTCCCAGCCACGGACGGCTGTAGCATCACCAGGGATTGAACTCGCGTTCTCCTGATGATAGGGTTAGACGGGTTAGACAGTTGCGCCACTCGGGAGCCCCAGAAAATCTGATTTTGTCAGTAATCTGATCAAGGCGTTTAGATGCACTTGAGTAATCAGATAACGTGAAAACTCTATATGAGTCAGATAGTAATTGGATTTCTGCTTTACAACCAGCCAATAAACTCACAGAAGAAGACGTGACTTAAATGTAATGTAAAAGTCCATGATGCCGCTTTAAAAAAAATAAAAATATGCGCCGCTTTACCTGAAAACATGAACATATGTCATCTAGAAGATGAAGAATATATAATCCTTCATTTCGTGTTCGGTTTCAGCATCACTCCAAAGTGTTTTGCTGTGTCTCGTGGCAAAGCTGCTCGCTTAATCTCGGTCTGTTTTCGCATAAGCGCAGACTGAGAAATCCGAAAGAAATCAGAGTAAGAGTTTACATACACTGAGAAATCTGATTACTGAGTTAAAATCCAGCTCTCTTTATTGGATTTCCTAATCAGATTTCTTGATCGGAGTTGGTGTTTACATGACCATTTGAATAATCAGATTCAGATGCAGAAATCCGATTGTGATCGGATTATTGAGGGCATGTAAACGCATTCAATATTTCCCCCATCACGTGCATACCAAATAAAATTAATTTCATATTAATAACACATTCTAAAAAACGCCTGTTTTTATATAATTTTGAGTCTTGTATTTCACAAAAAAGTTTGAGGACTAATTCTTTGTTCTTTCCTAGAAAAGATCTGAGCTTTTAAAGGAAAAACCTCTCTTCTCAGCAGCACCTACAATTCTTCAGTGATGTTTGTAACCTCCCTGAACTTTTTGTTGCACTTTATTCTATGTTTTTGTTTTTTTTACAGTTATTACCTTTATGGTCATTTTTTAGTTGTTCCTAGTGTCTTTTGTTTCCTAACAGAGTCTCCTATTAAAGCTGCATCAGCTGGCTATTATATCGGTTATAATGTGCTGTTAATTAGTGGCATTTTTTGGTCACAATATCGCGTCTGTTTATCTCAGTTTAAGAAATGTGAGCATTGAAAACAGACACATTGGATAATCCACAGCTGACAATCATATCAGTCAGTAAACCACTGTTTAACTAAACTATTAGTGTACAATACTAACATCTACAATATAAAAGTAAAAGCTGGCTGATATCATCAGTTTAGGGAATTTTTAGCCACTTACAATCAGTATTGGTCACAAAATTCAAAATTTCATTTGCTCTGTTCTTTAATTTTGTTATTTTATTTTATTTTACATATACTTTTACATAAACTCTGTATCTGAATACTGAGCACAATAAAGCAATTATTAACAGTGTCACATAAATACATAGCCCTGAAATGACCCGCAGTACACCTTGTCCATACATCTGGTCAACAATAAACAAAAATTCAGCATTTCAATGATAGAAAAAACTAATTTTCTGCAGGAGGATTTAAAACTCACCCGATCAATTTCATCATCATCAATCCCGTTCAGGTCCAGTTCACCATTTGCAGGTGTTACGTCTAAAATTCAAAAGGAAAGCAGCACTGTGAAATTGATTTTACGACATTTTAGGGCTTTTTAGGGCTGTTTTTTAAAACAGACACTAAAAAAATAAAGGTGTCAGAGATTTAGGTGCCACAGAAGAAGCACTTTCGGCTCCCTAGAGATCCTTTCAGTGGATGGTTCTTGTATGGCATGACTCCAAAGAACCCACATTTCTTTCTTTTTGTTCTCTTTTAAGAGCGTCCGAGTTACTGTGTGCCAGCGGCTCATTTCTGGGGTAAAGCATGTAAGCACTGAAACTAAAGGCTGACCCTCACTGTGAGGACATGAGTTCCTGAGTCTTCTGGGTCAAATAGCCATTAAATGGAGCAGCCTGGACAAGCTGATAACAGAAAAAATAACTCTCCAAGAGATGAAGACTGAGCAGACCTCATCACTAAAACAACACGCGTGCCTTCACAGCACATTTTCACCATCTCTGCTTAAAAAGGACCAAGAGACAATTAGAAAAGAGGAATACAACTACATTACGCATTTGGGGATGTCTCACTTTTTAAAAAGCACTTTTTAAAAGCAGAAATCTGTTTAGATGTTTGTTTTCTTTGCCAAAAAATGTAATACTTTCCAAATATTAATAATAACTGTTATTTTTACAGCTCTAAATGTGTTCAGGCTACAATGTTTGCTCGGAAAAAAAAAGATTCCAAATACTAAACATGTAACAAACAAATACTGGATTGCACATCATCATTTTCAGAACATAACTTTGTACTGTCGTTGTTAGTTTTCATAGTTTGTCCTTTGTGCACTTATGATAAGATAATCCTTTATTAGTCCCACAACGGGGAATTCACAGCGCTACAGCAGCAAAGGGACAGCAAGGCACTCAAGAAAAGAAGGAACAAGAAGAGAATTAAAAGTAAATGACCTTGATAATTACTTAACAAGGTTATAGTCTGTTACTTATTGCTGTATAGACAATGTATAACACTAGAGATAAAAATACAAGATAAAAAATATAAACTCTATCCTTCACATAAACACTATTCACAGAAATGAACAATATGAACTATTATAAATAAAAAAAATTTACACTGTAAGGATATTTTACCCAAACTGCACATGAAGTGTTGTTTATATTACACATGGGAATAGTGATGAATTAACAAATGAACATAATAAAAACAAAAGCAAAAAAATCTTTACACTCGACGTTTTTTACATGTATTGCACATGGAAATGTCAAAATTTTACGATAAACGGACCAACAGAAATGGTCCAAAATGACATACAATAAGACCTTCCACTAAAAGTTGAGAATTTTTGGTCCTTCTCCTGTAAAGTTAACATGATGCTAAATGGTGGGGTATAAACTTCCACTTTAAACTACTTGTTAGCTACATTAGCTGTGTAGCTCCAGTGCAAAACTAAAGAACCAAACTTCAGACACCAAACACATCCTGTCTGATCGACTCCATTCAGAGTAAGAGGGGGAAAAACTGTGTAAATCAGATTTCTGGCTGAACCATCAACCACCTCTAACGCTTGAGGATATTCTGAAATCAACCATCAGCAGCCGCTCAGTTCTCCAGCGAACTCAGGACGGAGTGGATATATTTAACACCAAAACACTGCAGCACCCCCGGCATCGTATCAAACGCGTCCTCTCAGCAAATTCCCTGCTACGACGGAAAACACAGTGTACTGACGCGCGTGTGCTGATTATCTGCAGGGTTTGAAGGCCACTGCTGCCTGCCAAGGTTACTGCAGCACGACTAGTGAGCTATAGGAGGTGCCTGCAGGGTTTTTCCTGCTTTTCCTCCCCTTTCCCCTCCATCGCTCTCCTCTCTTTACTTCCTCCCAGCCTCTCCTCCTCTTCTTTCGTCTTTAAACCCCCCACCAAACCCCCCTTTAAAAAAGGCCTGGGGTTTTCTGGCAATGCTTCACAGGTTCTCCATGCTCTGCAAAACCCAGAACCACTCCCCACTTCTCCTATCTGTATCCATCTCTCTCCCTCAAACACACAGAGGACTGTTTTTATACAGTGTGGTCATACAGACTGTATGTCTCATAAGGATTATATGTACTGTTGCTGTTGGCACTAAACCCCGTATCTCTACCTAAAGCTCGAAAAAGCATCCATAACTCTGACTACAAGCTGAGGTAGAGAGGTTTTGAATACAAAAGTCTCAGGCAGCCAAGAAAATAGTTTAAAACTATTCTATTATCTGGACAGTAAGAACACTATATAACAGAATAAATACAGAGAAACAAATACAGTAAGAGGTAAGAAGAACGTGCTGTTTTCAGTGAAGTTCTGAATATGTTTGGATGTATGGATTTGTGAAATTCTATATATATATATACACACACACACACACACACACACACTAATATGTTATATAATGTCCTACACATTTGTCAGGATTTGTATTGGATTTCTGATGCTATATAAAAACAAACACACACACACACACACACACACACACACACAGTGATATGGAGACAAGGAAGGCCCCCCACCTGCCTAAGAGCACAAGAGATCCCCCAACTCTCCACCCACACACATGCTTCCCAAACACACACACACACACACACACACACACACACACACACCCCACTCCAAGACTAAAAACTGTTTTTACACACTAATTCTAATTACAGTGCAACCCCCCAACAAGTCTATCCTGAGTGGAAATATACACACACAGGCACACACACACAGTACTGATCACAACACACGCACACACAAACACACACACACACACTCTACTGATCATTGATCACAACAGACATACTCACTCACTTTACTGATCCACACACATGCAACTGATCATAACACACACACATACACTCTACTGATCACAACACACGTGTGAGTGTGTGTGTGTGTGTGTTGTGATCAATGTGTGTGTGTGTGTGTGTGTGAGTGTGTTGTGATCAGTTGTGTGTGTGTGTGTGTTGTGATCAGTTGTGTGTGTGTGAGAGTGTGTGTGTTGAGATCAGTATGTGTGTGTGTTGTGATCAGTGTGTGTGTGTGTGTGTGTAATGTGATCAGTTGTTTGTGTGTGTGTGTATGTGTGTTGTGGTCAGTGTGTGTGTGTGTGTGCATGTGTGTGTCTGTGTGTGTGTTGAGATCAGTATGTGTGTGTGTTGTGATCAGTGTGTGTGTGTGTGTGTGTGTAACGTGATCAGTTGTTTGTGTGTGTGTGTATGTGTGTTGTGGTCAGTGTGTGTGTGTGTGCATGTGTGTGTCTGTGTGTGTGTTGTGATCAGTATGTGTGTGTGTTGTGATCAGTAGTTTGTGTGTGTGTGTGTGTGTGTGTGTGTGTGTGTGTGTGTTTGTGTGTGTGTGTATTAGTTACTGAAAAAAAAGACACAGAAAAAGACACAGAAAAAGATAAGCAGATAAAAAAGAAACAGAAACCACAACAGAGGGAACAATAGCAGGTGCTGGAGCAGATTAAAGAGAGCCGGAGAGAGAGGGGCAGTAACCATAGTGATCTCAGCCCACCTGGCCCTTATTCACTTCACTGCTACTAAAAGAAAGGGGGAGGGGAAGAAGAAAGAAGAGAGAAGAGAAGAAACGTTGAAGTTTGAAATTAGAGAGGACAGAGGAAACACTACAGACAGCAACTGAACACACACCTGTCAGGACCACCTTTCATTCTGACTACAAACACACTGTCCCCCCAATTCAGCTCAACTAAGGAAACCCTATTGGAATGACAAATAACACAACAGGGGAGCTGGAGCTCCACTTCACTGCTGCTTCTGTTGGTTTGCTGCTGGTTGATTCATCCGTAGTTCTCCTTCAAGTGTCTGTCCAGCGCAGACTGCTGAATGTTTCGCTTTAAAAGACATTTAAGCTGTATTTTAACGAGAGCACTACAATCACAGATTCTATCGCAACAACACAGGAAAACTGGGCTAAAAATTTGTGCAGTTAATTGCATAATTAAATATGCTGATGTTGATAATAACATATTTGAAATCTCTAATTCTATTGAGTGTTTTTACGGGGAAAAACACATACATGTCCAGACATGTACAGTGGCGCCACCATAGCCTGTTTATGAGGAGGCTGGCCGCTTCCTATTTCCCCCGTTATTTCAAAAACATGACTGCAAAACACCAGACGGCACCCGGGGCCGAGTCCTCAATGAAACGGGGTGAAGGGAGCTAAACAGCTAAAAACGAAAAGTTAAAACAGTTCTAATCACTCGCTCAGAACTTTCCTTTAATTTTAGAAGGCAGAAGGATGTATTTCACTAAAAAGAAAACTTTTTTTTATTATAGAAAACGGCAGGAAAAGCAGAAGGCTGCCATTACTGCTACTGAGTGCTGACTGGATGGTGAGCGGAGCTGCTCATTGGCTGTTCGCACTCACTGAAGTCATGAACGTACATGAGGCGCCGTTTTAAACTCCTATAACTCGAGTTTAAAAGCTCTTAAAAATATAACAGCGGTGTTAAAATGTTTTATGCTGCTCTTTGTTCAGGAAATGAATGAATTCCTTTACATTAAAAATGTTTAAGCATTTAGAAACTATGATTTTGCTCAAATGCTCCATCTTATCCCACTCATTTTGGACTCGCTCGGAAGTGCCCTCTAGTGTTTGAGAAATCCAGAAGACATTACAGAGTGGAAATTCTCCTCTCTACAAGTTCTCTGGCACCACCACTAGACTTAATGCAGCGTTATGCGAAAATTGGTATATTGTGCTCGTGGGCTCTCCCGACAGTTGTGGAGTGTTTTTCACTTTTACACCACTGTTGTAAATATAAATCACGCTCTGAGCCCCCAGCATGGATGGCTGTACAAGCGCATTTGTTGACGAGCTAAAGGATACAGAATCTGACTCCCCTTCGCATGCATACATATTACACCGGCATATAAATGCTACAAATTACACTCGTCATTTTGGTTGTTTCTATGCATAAATAACTGAAATCACAAGTGTAATCTGTAGCATTCATATGCCTGCATGATGTGTACACATGAAGGGGAATCAGAT